TGTATGTGTATCTGTATCTGTATCTGTATCTGTGTATGCATGCATGCATGCATTCATGCATGGATGTATGGATGGATGTATGTATATGCTGGCAACCGCTACTACTTGCACGAGGGTCCTAGGCAAGGTTGTAAGTTGGGTTATCCTACTTGTCACCTGACTTGTAAGCTGCAGACTGAGGCACTGAGGTCCCTGGTCCTGCTAAGCGCTCCTGATCTAGTGAGGGTTTCCGGTTTAGGGTACTTTTGCAGTCGAGCTCAAGGTATCGTGAAAATGACATTTGCCTGGCACATCATTTCGGAAGGAGTCGGGGTTAGGGGCTGGGGGTATTTATCCGGAGCCCACGGAAGGAGCTGCACAGAGCATGCTTTTGTCTCGGCAATCAGCCTCGTAAGCTACCTGTCGCCTGTTTGCTGCTGCTGCTTCTAAGGCTCCTGCTCCCCCTTCTGGCACGTACTCCATGTTTTGCTATTTTGTCGCCACCACCCTAAGCCTCGTGCACTGGAACGTGTTTGAAGCTGGCATATCTGAGTTGCAGCTGTGCGCCGAAGCCCGTCCGTGTCATGATGTGCCCATCGTCTTCAACATGGACATTGGCAGAAACCTCACGAATAGCCCTGCTCGAACTAGCGCTCAGCACCGTCAGCCCCGTGTAGGCCACCTTATCCGTGCCGACGGAGTGGCTGAACCTGGTGGAGTTGAAGGAGACAGCCCCGCCTCACTCGAGGTTCCTGCTGCTGGCCGTGTCCCCAGTCCTTCCGGCTTGTTGCTGCTTCACAGCTTTCAAAATACCCGAAATTGGTATTGCCATTTTCAGTCGCATCGTCGTTGCCGGTTGTTTACTGTTGGTTGGAGATTGCGGCTTTTACGGCTAGGGCTAGGCTCCAGGATGTTAGGCCAGATGAAGTATCATGAAGCTTGAACTTCGGCGGGCCCCCGCGAAGCAGAAGAGTGGGTGAGCCTCCCTCTGTAGTTGCACGCTTGAAGAGTCTGTTTTACCATGCCCTCCACCACTAAATTATCCGACCGAATTTCCTTGCTAGAAACGTGCTGGCTGTGCTCTGCAATAGTTTCTCGTGCCAGGTGGCTCCGATACTTTTGAATCAGCTGTTCAGTCTCATGCCATTTGGCCTGCCGAGATTGACAATCGCTCGCTGTTGAGGTTCTCCACACCGGCATTGGCGAAAAGGATTTGCTCGGGTCCATGACGGTGAAGTATGGCAATGCCTTCTTTTGGGACACCTTTGATCATATCCTCTCTGTCGCTCAGGGGAAGCTGATCGAGAAGGCAGGTTTCCTGATCAGCGCCCAATGTTTGTGTTCCACGGTTGGCTCGAAACACAGCATGCACTTATTGAGGCCATGCCGAAGCCAGATCTCTTCGTGCTCAAAGATGTCAATGTCCAGGTGATTGAGGAGAGGTGCTTGTTTGTATCGGAAGCAAGGCATTCCAAACATCCATGCGATTCTGTGACCAGGACGCGGAGAAGAAACTTCCCGGCAAGTCTGGCCGCAAATCCTCCAAGGGATCAACTGGGGTCGGAAGCGTCATCTTCGGAATTGACGGCGGCTTGATCGCATGGCTGACATGGTTTTGAATTCCCCAGCCACAATTACATAACCCAAGACCTCTTCAGTCGTCAGTTTGATTCCGAAATAGCCTTTGACGGGCTTCGTACTGTTCTTCGAGGCCGATTCTAGGCTTCAACACCTGCCGTGTCCTTCGGCCTGTGGTGGTTGTGCACGTCGTGGGACCACAGAGGGCTTGCCTCAGGGGTCCTGAGAGATGCGGAATGGACATGGGGCGTTGTCTGCATGCTTGGCGATGCTTGCTTCCTGCGGTCTGCATGTCTGCAAGCATGACTGTCTTCTTGTGCTGGTGGAGGTTCAACCTCGTGCTGTTACTCTCTGCCAAAAGCACCTCCCTGCAGTGAGCAAAGCTGCACGACTCCCAGGCAGCAAGTGGGGTACCGTTGTGGCGGATGAGGGCCGGGCGCAGCTGCCTCAGCCGAGGGTCGTGGTTGGGGCATTCCTCAGCTTCAGGTCATGCTCCTTGAGCCTTGTGAATTTGGGGAATCAATCTGCGCACCCTAAACCCTCGCCGAGGGTACCACTCCCAACAGCTACAGGTGGAAGCTGGACAGCGGCCGAATCGCCAAGAAAGAGACAGAAGGCGACAAGTGGACATGGGCCGGCGGTGCTACGACCAAAGGAACACAAGGTGCAGACAAATATTTCGCCAGCGTGGCAGACATGAAGAAGAAGGCCAATGTGAAGGACATCAGCGCCTTAGTTAAACACTGGCTCGTTTTCTTCAAGACTTCTTCTTGGTGGCGCCTGGTTTTGCGGTGCCGGGAGAGTGAGATTCAAGCGGCCAAGGTGCACGTTTGGCAGGTGGGTGGGCACGGGGATCGTCAGTCCCGTGGGACTCGTGTAGCCATTGCCTTGAGAAGACTCTAAGAACTTTCCTGGCACGGCACGGTTTGGATGCAGGCTACTCCGACTTACTCGCACTGGCTGGCAAGGCTCGGCACGGCTCTCCGGTGTTCGGTGGTTGTAGGTTGACTTTCCCCGGAACACTGAAATCTATGCCCTGTAGTCGTTTCGGCGGCAGTAGCAAAATGAATGCAAAAAACCATCGCAGTTAAGGTTGTGCTTTCTTATTCTTAACGGACTGATTTGGCCGCCATGGTGTGTGCTTTTGTCTTCCCGGACGGCCCTACACCCTAAACCCTGACACATGCTCAAAGCTGCAGTGCGATGCCTCAAACCATTTGCCTCACCTGGTTTGCCTGGCCGTGAGAGTCTGCGATACCCTAGGCCGCAAGCCCCAGTAGATGATGCAGAGTATATCAGACATAGCAGTACAAAACAGATTTTAGACAAGTACATGTGTATGTATATGTTAAATGTATAACTGTATAACCTTGTATTCTTTGTGTATGCACATACAGCTGCAAAGTAAGTATGTCAGTACATGGTGCAGCGCACCTGCTAGAGGAGCGCGATGCTGGCAAAGCCTTTGATGACTTGCTACCCTTCCTGCTCCTTGGCTGTCGAATATAAAACCCTAAACCCAAAACATCTGCTCGGATACGTGATCTGAAAACCCCGACCTTCTTCGCAACCTTCAGTCCGATGGACATCGGTCCTGGCAAGGAGGAAAAACCCTTGAAGCTATCTCAGCCGTATACGCCCTACATACCCTGACAGCGTATGAGATGAGAGAGGGGAGAGACGAGCAGACCTGAGGCTCTCTCGGTTCAATGCCGAGCAAGAGCAAGGCAGGCAGCACATTCTCAACGAGCTGCTGGTCAACAAGAAGTTTCCGGACGACTTGTGGGAGGACCCTTTTGTTCGATGTAAGAAACAGAGGTGGAGACAGACGTCCCTCTTGAAAAGACCCTTTTCTTCTGGATGTTTTGAAGACTGGGGCGGACCAATGCCCCTTTTCAAAGGCACGACTCCTCTCACCGAAGACCTTCGGAACTTTCAGCCTAGGGGCCGAAAAACCTAGTAGCCCTGACATACAGGTCTGGACTGAAGAGGTAGCATTGTCCTTACTTACTGTGAAGATACAAGCGTATTTTCAGGTTCATACAGGAGGCTCATGGTCCCAACAATATAGTTGTAATAATAATAATAAGAAGAAGAAGAACAATAATAATGATAATGATAGCAATAGTAATGATAATAAGTGACAATAATAATAATGATAATAAGCAACAATAATAACGCAAATAATGGTCACAAATAGTAGTTATGGTATACTATGCCCCAAACCCCAGAGACAGAATCAAGGCCCTTGTTTACGCCCAGATCCCACAACACGCCTTAGCAAAATAGTTTAGTATACATGCAATCAATCTCTCAGATCTTTCTCTCTCTCTCTCTATATATATATACATGTTATATCTGTCTCCATCTATCTTTCTATTATATAATCGAATCTTTCTGTTGTGTAGCGTATGTTTCTCTTTTTTTTCGTTTTGGCTTTTTTCAGCCTGTAGAAAGCGAGCCCCACCCTGCAGGAGAGGCTTGAGCACCTCCGGAGCTTCTGGAAGGCTCGAGTCTGCTGTTCACCTTCTGCCTCGTGCCGGGAGAGGAGTTTCGATGCCTTCGCTAGTAGGGCGTTGGCGGTTCTGCTGCAAAAAAATAGGGACTTCAAGGTTTTTTAGGTTTGAACAGGTTTTAGGGTGTTCGCCCTTTGCAGAGCTTCCAACAGCATGGGAGGTCAGCAGCAAAGCGCGTGAGAGCGCGAGCTACCAATGCAGCTGGAAGCACGGGCTGCGATTTAGTTGCTTATGTAACTGATCTCCTACTGCAGGGCACGCGTGTTTGCATTCTGGATGCCAAGTCAAGGAACAAATGCGGAAGGCATCTTGTACAGAAAGCATTGAAGAATTGGGGCAAGCCGGCCGCCTGGCGTACACCTGGAATTTGGCTGTCTTGCACATGGGAGTTTCCGAAAATTTGGGGTACCTTCTTTTGGGGGTCCTTATATATTAAGGATCCTACTATTTAGGGTACTATATTAGGGTCTCCCCCATATGCAAAAGAAGTGTCAGGCGACTCACCCTAATCACGCCCTAGAGTCCCTATTGAGCCCTACTACTGCATGTGACGCAGGTCAAAGAAGGCGAACTTGCACCAGAGTATCCAACCGAAGCATGCCTCTTCGGCTTGGAGGTGACGGCCGAGACTTGGTTTTGCGAGCGCTAGGGACAACTAGAACATTGCTAGAATCATGCATTCCTACAAATACATATATAGACGTAGATATAGGTCGCTGTTTATATTGACGATGCAGCTTACTCCATTTGGAACCACTTCATGGGTGGTGACACAATGTCGCACATGTCTTGGCCCATGTGCTATCCGTGCCTTCTGGTCCTTGTTTGCATCGCAAGAAGTAGCATGCAAATTCCATGCAGAACCTCTTGCCACTTCCTCTATCAGAGAAGGCTTGAAAAAAGCAGGAGGCATCACCCCCGAACCTTTGTTTTTGAAAGGGTATCGAGCGTCCTGGTATCGAAGTTTGAGCTCATGGCCTTATACAACAGCATCGGCAGGACCCGATGCAGCAACGCAAGCACCGCTGAATGCAGAAAGCAATGCCACTCAGGATATCAATCTCCCGGACCTGCTCGTGAGCCTTGGAAAGCTGTGGCCACGTTTTCACGTCCTGGGTTGAGGACTTTGAGTCGGGTTTGTACGTCGGTGCGTAGTTTCATGCTGGGCATCCTGCAGGTTATACTGGCGTAGGGCCCTTCCAAACACAGCTTCGACACAAGGCATCTTTGCCTCTTGGAGATTCCATGTGCGTAGCATCCCGACTATGCAAAAAACACGAGAAAACAACTCTAAGCGCTTGGAAGTTCAAGCTCTTCATGGAGCAGGTGACTTGAATTGAAATTACATCTAGCCGAATCTAGCCTTTTCCCCGGTCCGCATTTGCAGCCCTTCCTTTTGTTTCGGCTGTTAACGTCCCAGCACCTTCTTGGTGTGGCCCGACGATGGCCCGAAATGAACGTCAATCTGCCCACCGGCTACCGTCCAGTAAACTAAGGAATTCTCATTCCAAGATTGAGACACTGAAGGCCAGCTCTTGTTGTCCATGAATGCCGTGTAGCGCATACTATGTGTGCACATCGAGGTTGTTCTAAACTTTGGCCAAGGACAAGGGCAGCCTCAAGATACCAGTCAGTTTGAAAGGGAGTGGACTTTTTGTATAGATCAGCCTAACATACATAGTGGTACACCCACCAAACTCGAGAAAAGCAGCAAGATCCGTGCATGAGAGAGATTGGGCTTCTTGATGCCGGGGAGGTGGTCTAAAGTACCGAAGGCAGCAACAACAGTAGATGCCCCACCAAGCACGAGCCCTTTCGTGGGTGACGTGCTTTGTGGGCGTCCAAAACAAGGAGCCTCATCATGCCTCATCTATTCTTGTATACTACTCTACATCATTTTGTACAGCCTATTATTGTATACTACATCATTGTAGACTGTATTATAAACAAATCCATTATAAGATACTATCGTATCTTGACTGGTACTATCTAAACGAATATACTGTACCATACTATATATAACACATGCGCAGGATCTGGAAGCCGCAACTCGCTGGGTCTTAGAGACGGCTGTGCCTCTCCAGGGGGAATCCACCTCCCCACTGCAGGACCACAGAAACTCATGGCTTCCGGGGTTTCAGAGTTTTGGGCTTGGGTCCTTAGGGTTTAAGGTTTCAATATCTCGAGCTTTAATGGGCCCGGATGCAAAAAGGCTTCGGTTGCACGGGACTCGAAGGCTTGAAGAGCTGCTGATTGTAGAGAGCGCTTGACCGGAAGAGCCCTGTCGAGACAGCAGCCAAATAGAAGATTTGAGCAGTTCGTAATAGCATTCTTCTCACCATCCCCCCCCCATCTCTCTCTCTCTCTCTCTACCTACACACACACACACATCTCTCTTTCTGTCTCTCTATCTATCTGTCTATCTATCTACCTATCTATCTATCTAGCTAGCTATCTATCTATCTATCTATCTATATATATACACACACACACACACATGATCCCGGTTCTCGGTTCCCCCCCTGGCACGCCCCGAAATATGCCGAATCCCTGTGACTGTGCGTACTTCTCCCACATGTCGGCTCCAAAGCCATCAACCGTCACGAGGATCTCGTCCCAAGCACACCCCATCCTTGTGACAATGGACACTTTCCAACCATCAGTCGGGCCCGCTTCCTGTGGCAGTTGACCCAAGAAAGGAACATGATGATGATGGTGATGATGACGAGGATGCTGATGAGGATGACGATAAGGATGACAATGACGATGATGATGATGATGACGACGATTTCGAAAGACCCAGGGCGATCCGAACCGCGAACCACACCGCACCACAGGGGGCGGAGAGACTGAGAGCAGACCCAAACCCCGAACCGCACCACACCACAGGGGGGGACGAATAAAAACAAATATTCGGGTGCTGTCCAGTATTTATCTCGGCCTAAACCTACATACACAAGCCTTAAACCATAATGTAAGCGTCTGATTGGTGTGTTACCCCCCAGTCATGCGAAGTTTTCTATTCAGACCCCCCATTTGTTTTGGGGCCCCCAATTCTGCAAAGTTTTTCTGATCACCGACATGATTAGTTTTATCAACGTTGGCCTCGGCATGATTACCATTATAAATATTGAGGTAAACACCACCGGTAGTAATAGCACTGCTAATATTAACTCTAACTCTCTGGATGCCAAAAGTGCCGGGTTCCGGACATAAACTGACATAAGCGGGGGGGCCAAGCCATCGATTCTCCTGGGGGTGGCCCAGCAGGCCTACAAAAGCCCAAAAATGGAAAGGATTTGGGGGTCCCCAATAATGCTTCCGGGCTCGCCGATGTCGAGCGGCTGTTCATTGAAGGCCTCAAGCCTACCAATCCGGACCGAAACCCCCAAAGCAAATCCCAGTCAAAATTGGGGACCCTCCCCCCAAACAAAAAGTGTTGGCAGGGGGCCCCCCAGATTAATCAGACCCCGACACTACGCCACGAGCCAAAGCAAGACGGGAGAACAGCAAGAAAACGCTGAAAAGCCAAACGTTGCGGAGGATTTCTGGGAGGCTTTGAAGACCATGAGCACCATCAAGCCACTGTCCTGCAGACTGCGTGCGTGCCTTTGGAGATTCAGGTTCTACCGATTTCAGCAGCGTTGCTGATGTTTGCGGTTCTGCATGAGCTTCGTGGTTGAAGGGTGTAACGACTTAGTGTGGGTTCAGCAGTTTCCTTGGCGGTTTTCAAGCGAGTGCGAGCTATCATTGGTTTATTATTTTGGATTGCCAGCTGGCTTGTGCACACTTGAAACAACCTGGGAGCCCCATAGACTTTCAGCTCGTTGTGAGCACCCTGAACCCAATAAGCATCAAGCGAACTCGTAAGCCATAAGCACTAAAGCATAAACCCCTGACCGAAAGCCCGAAAGCTCATTGAGGGGCTTTGAACTGCCTTCAGGACTTAGCATGCTTTGTCTTTGTGTTCCCCAACCCAGGAGGGAAAGACAGCCAAAGTACAGAGAGAGAGAGAGAGAGAGAGACAGAGAGATAGATAGATAGA